ACTGCCCAAGCAGCCTAATATTCCTAGCCATCCATACATTATCTCTTTACGTTTACAGAGAATATATTTTATTTGCTGTGTAGCTACTAAATTACCTTCCATTTTTTTTTTTTTTCCCACCAGTTTACCCATCTTCTTTTGGTAAAAAACAAGTAACTATCCCAGCTGAGAACTGTTTATGTTAGTGCCAATAGTCATATGAATTTCACATAATACAGAATAATTAAAGAAACACTTTCAAGTTTCCACATGAGGAAGAAAGCCATAGGGTACTGGTCAGTCATATGTTTTAGTACTTTCTTTATTTTTAGAAACTCCCATAAATCAAATTATTAATAAATAGAGGGAAGATAGAAACAGCTTCTTTTATTAAAAAATTTTTTATCACAGTGAGATTCACATACCACATTTTCCCTTCAGGGAGAGAAGACACTGGGATTTAATGCAGCCTTTTGTGGAAAGTTTTCTTCCTCAAGTCCATGTTGTAAGAGATGGCTCTGCCCTGCTCAAACACTGTCCAGATCTTTGAGAATGCCCATTCCAAGCCTGTGTGAGCGTAGGTTGATCTTTAGAGTGTAATTACTAGAATTTTGTTTCACCTATTTTTAAAGGCTCCATTTAGTAGCAACTTGTGCTAATTCCTCTTGGTGGTAACTTGCAAAGTCCACAGCAGAGTTTTCTTGCTCTTGCAAGTGTTAGATGTCTTAGGACCTTCTTCTGCATCCTCGCATAGAGGAAAGAGTTCTCGTTAGCTAATGCAACTTGATGATATAAAAAGGCCTTCAAGAGTAACTGCAGTTACTTAAATTCAGTGACTACTGGCTGTGCCATTAGTTGAACATATGCTCAAGTGTTTTGCTATGCTGTGGGCTAGCTTGGGATGGATTTATTGCTGGTAATTTGTGGAAGGCAATATAAGTGGGAGGTAAGGTAATACCAGCTTGAATTCCTCATTTGTGAATTTCTCCTTCCAGGTCATGATTAAAAAGTGTTAAGTATTATGCAAAAATTCAGAAGCTATTTGAATTTATAGGGTGAGAGAATAAATAGCTCCCTCATTCCCTTCCTCCCTCCAAACCTCAGCTCCAGACAATGAAAATATCAACACAGAGCAATATATTTCTGGGAAATCTCATATGGTATTACAAGGAGAGTGAAGGAAAGATCTAAATGGCACAGAATGAAATACTCAATAAAACAGCTCATGGTCTAGCACTGACCTCTTAGGTATCACTAGCCTTGTATTTTAAATGATGCTAGGTAGTTTTTTTCTTTCCTGCCCTTTTAGCAGCTCTGATCTTCATATTATTTATTGCCAAAAATGTTAATTTGACTCCTTTTTTTAAAAAAAAAAGATTTTATTTGGCACTGGAACAAATGCTTTAGAGAGCTGTAGCTGATATAGCTGTAATACATGTATTGCTTTGAGTATACTGCAGTCATTTTTTAAATTGTGTCAAAAAAGGCAGCCATATCTTTTTTTGACCAGATTTATTGTGCTGCTTATTGCTCAATAGTCTGTTATTTTCCAGATGTTCAGTAATTTATTTTTCTTAATATTTGTTCCATTACTACTAGATACAGTAGTCAGACTTATGAGGGGGTAATTTCTGGGACCATTGAATTTCTTGTTAATTGCTACTCATTGTTGTTGCTATTATTATCAAAGCATCTAAAAACCCCACCACAATCAGGACCCATTGTGCAAAGCACAATGTGTACGTTTAGGAGGAGACAAGATTAAGCAGCCCAGTATAATAATACAACCTCCCCTTTTATTGAAAATCGGTATTTTGCTTTTCTCTAGCGCTGTGGTTCCCCCAGTCCCACACAATGAAGAAAGAATTATTGGCATGGCAAATTCGTTGAGTAACTCCTTTGGTACACTAGCATGAACACCACACAGCTAAAAAAATCTATCTATACCTCACATAATCCCTCACATATTCTTTCACAATGGTTTTTACTGATTGGTGAGCATATAGATGTATTTTCTTAATGTTTCTAGTTAAGTGTGAATGTTAGAAAGGGGATAAGCACCTTTTGGAGCACTTAGAGACACAGAGTTAGCCCCTCAGTTGTTGGTAGGTGGATTTTCCGCAGTATATCTTTACCTCGCTCAAGTTTTCTGTTTTTCTGTTTGCTCCTGACTTTGCTTACTTCAACAGCATAGTGAGGGGATCTAGTTTCTGACAGCTCATTCGAGGCTATCTAAAAGCTTGAAACGAAGGGCAGTGAAGGACAACACAGTTGTCCTAGTTGTGAGCCACCAGCTGATGGTAAATCTATGGTAAATCTGCCAAATAAGTGGCAGTGAAACACTGAAGTTATCTCTGGCTGACCTTTGTTCTGCCAGGCCCAGTCTGGCTGTTTAGGGTTATTCAGGCACCACTACAACTACTTGTGATCTGCAGGGCTTTGTCTTTACCACCTCTCTTTGATTTTCCCTTTATCTTTGCCTGATGTTATTCCACTTCTGTCGGCTGCTTGTGTCATCTTCCTGAGAAACATCTTCAGGCGGCCACAACTGAGATGCAGGCTGGACCCTGAGCAACTCTCTCTGACACATACAAGAGGATTTTTTTCACTGTGACCTTCAGTGCCTTAATTTAGAGCTAGGACCTCTGAATCCCATAGTGCAGCCCTTTGGAGTAAAGATGCTGCTGTCTTTTTGTCTTAAACTCATGTTTTGAAGCTGTAACCCATTTTAAGATGCAGAGGAAGGAGCTCTGGGCTGTGACTCCCCAGTTAACTGCACAATGGGAGATGCCAGTTTGCCCAGACTTGGCATGAACACCAAGCGGACAACTTAGCTTTGCTGCCAGCCCACAGAGCTTCACACTTGCTCCTTTTGATCGGGGCTCTTTTGGCTTGATCAGTGGCGCCCAACCTTTTCAGCCTGGCAGACCACAATAATCTTAAAATACTCAGTAAGCTGTAGCGTGCAATAACCAGAACAATTCTTAATATTCATGGACAGCTCTTGGGTAGCTCATGCATTACTCATCCCATGCATCCAGGCAAGTCCGTGTGTCCCGAACAGCGTCTAGGAAAGTAGGAAGCTGTGAGCATGTGGCTGCCCGAAATAGCTGCCTTCAGTCTGCTTCTGCTGGAGCAGACTGCAAGAAGTATTCTCATGGCAGAGGCCTGCGTTGGCTTCCCTCTTGCTCCTGAGAGCTTCTTGGAGTCAGCACCCGGGTATGTTGCGAGCCAGATGAATTTCTTTGGCAGTGGTGGTAGCTCAAGAGATTTCTTAGAGGCTCTGTGTCCCATGTGTCCTTAGGAGGATGTGATGGGAGAAGCTCGCAAATATCCCAGAAAGGAGCCTTGTAAATCTCCCAGGAGCTGGCTGCAAATGTTCAGAATTGTTCTGTTGGGCTGTAGATCTTCATATTCTTGTACCAATATCCCCCGGTTGCTGTGGATTTCAAACCTGCAATGCCAAAAATGTGGGTGAAAAAATACTCCTCCTGGATAAATCTGGTGTGTGTTGACTATTGCTTGGCTATGTAATTGCTAGTGTGACTATCACCAAAAGCTAATGTGGGTCTTGATATTTCATTTCTGAGGCTACTTCCTTGGAGGCAATGTAGCAAGCTCCTTCAGTAAAGTGTCTCATTCCTTCTCTACTCATGCAGTTTGACCCAACATTAAGCTCATTCTGGCATGGCAGCTGAAGAGTCTTCGAAAAATATCTTGATTTGAAATCGTGTCTAGTAACTATACTAGTTTTGATAAATAAGATGGCGAATGCATAGGTTCTTCTTGGGTTTCTTTTTGTGAAAGGAACACAGTACTAAGGGTTTCATGTGGTCCAGGGAATGTATTTTCTATGACTATAAATTTCACACAAGAAGCAGCACTGTCATGTAGCAGCACAAGTTTTGTTCTCCACGACTTCTCAGTGGTGGTTTTGCATCTATAATTAAGATGTCTATTCCTACCACATAATTTGTTATATTATCTGCTAATGACCGAAATGTTTCATTTCTCTGACACAGAACTCAAGGATACCAGCACTATTTCTTACAAATAGCACAAAACTGTGTGTCAGGTCTCAGAAATATGTGGGTTTTGCCTCTAAGTTAGACTTATATTCAAAAGCTAAGATGGGTCACTTCCCTGTGTTGTTGTCAGGACTGTAAATCAGACTGGCTGAATCCCAGGGCTAAGAAAGGCTGATGCTCCTTATCGGACCAGTTGGGTGGCAGTTTGCATTTTGGAAGAGACTGTCTGAGGTGTTAGCTTGCATTTTCGGATACTCTGGCTGAGGTGGGACTTTGGTGAAAGAGCTGTGAACAGTTTCACAGTGCCCATAGCAGCAGAGTTGAATCTCAACTAGCAGAGGTCAAAAACAACAGCAGGGAATATTAAAACTATAAGTAAGTGAAAGGGTATTACTCTGTTTATTCCAGGATCTGAAAGCATTGATCGCAGGGGAATATCCACATGTAACTTATGAACTGGGGCTTGCTTTCTGCTAGTTTGCCTCTGACACGGTCTGTGAGCATTTAGGTGTCATTCCTTCTGTACAGTTGAAAGTGGGGTCTGCTCCCAGGGTTACCTCTTGCATTTTCAAAGAGCTGGTATTGGCTAATAGCTTTCTCTAGGAAATGGGATCCTTTCAGCTGACCCTCTCCGGGCAGTGGGTACTTTTGTTTGCTAGGAGATCTGGAAATGAGTTCAAGTGTATGTTCCTTGTTTTGTAGCGCACTGTTCAGTGCCAAATGCTGCATGCTTTACTTGTCTCAAGCTGTTACATGTTGCTCTCTAAGGGTTTGGACTAATGTTAGTTTTTAATTCCCTCTCCTTTTTCTCTTTCTTTCTCTCTTTCTTTCTCTCTTTCTCTCTTTCTCTCTTTCTCTCTCTTTTCCTCTCTTTCTTTCTTTCCCTCTCTTTTCCTCTCTTTCTTTCTTTCCCTTTTTTTTTTTTAATTTTTTTTTAAACTAGAAGCACAGCAAAATAGATAGAAACATTCTAGACCTTTTTTTTTTTTTTTAGTTACCCAGTCTCTGCACATATAGTTCTCATAAAAAGTTTTTCAAGTAACTGGTGATTAAGTCAAGAGCTCATTTATACATTTAGCCACCTTGGCTAGATGTTGGCAGCATCAGTTAATTAGGACATGGCAAGGATATGACAAATATTATCAAGAGGTCATCTGCCTACTAAAATAAACTCAAATTATTGTAAGATCACATAATGAAATTGTAGCTTGCTTTCTTGACATGAATCCCACTCCAGCTTGGTATTCATTTACTCTTTGCCTGGCTTTGTACTTTCAATGTTTATAACCTTTCTTCTCCTTCCTCAGATTACTTGCAATTTTTCCAGGACACTAAAAGACGCTGAAAATTGTAAGGATTTTTTCTGTTCTGTTCTGGAGGGGTCTGGGGTATTTTTTGTTTGTTTGTTTGTCTTGGGTGTTTTTTTAATGTTTTTAAATGTGTCTGACTGTAGCTGAAGAATCCAGACTCCAGAATCTTTTCTCCAGGATGCTATACCCCTTTGACAAAAGCTTTCACAGGTAACTCATCCCAAGATACAGAATCACAGACAAATGAATTACTTAAAGCGTGGAACAATTCCTCAAGGACTGCCCATGTGCACTTTCTTACCCTGTGATAAGCAGGGGTGGTTTTCCTGCCTCTCAGTGGGGATGGGGCCAGCTAACCTGTGCTGGCTGTGGGAAAGGCTTGGTGTGCATGTGCAAGCCCTCATCGGAGAGCAGCCGACTGACTGGAAATGCACACCCTAGTTTACATCGTGGTAACTATTCCTGCACATGTCCCCCTAGGTATTTTGGGGACCACGCTTTTCCCTGGTTCCCGCTCCTTGTTCCCATGAGGGGCTCGTGTGGCTGACTTTCTTTCTTGCCAGCTGCGGAGATCTGCTGCTGGGCTGAGCCTTCCCTCCTCCCACCCACTCTCCTCTTCACCAGCACCTCATCTGTGTTGACATCTTCAGTCTTTTCTGTTTCTCCTGTGTCCCAGGCAGCTGACTTCCCTTGGTTCCCTTCCCACTCAGACCACTGGCTGCCTTCCTTGCCTCCCCTGCAGCTCAGCGCTGTTGTGTTTGCTCTCCCCTGCTCCCTGCCCAGGAGAGGTGGTGGTCTCTGAGGGAGCACAGCCTGGACCCTGTTAAGTGTCACCCCATCTTAGTGCCTTACATCTGAGCTGCTGTGGACTCGGAAAAATCCGTACATTCATTCATCTTCCTCCTTTGTTCAACAGCCATTTTCTGACAGAAAAGCAACTGCTTTCTCCGTGCTGTGAACACACTGAACTAGCAATAACTGTTTTGTAGTTTTTCTGCCCTTGCTGTTAATGGAGAAGTGTTAAGTGTCTGTGTGTTCTTACTTGGCTACTGGCCACCCTTTCAATTCCTAGTGCAATTTTTCTTTTGACATTCAGAGCTGCTCATTGTAAAAACAGACCAGGTATGTTTCAAGCTTTGGCATAGCCTTAAATCTTACTGTGACTTTTAGGTTATTCCAGCCTTTGCTGATGGGCTTATTGTTTCTTTCCATTGTCGCTGATTCTTTCTAGTCTGACTCTGCCAGTTCCCAGTCAGCCCTGTGCAACTCTCCAGCCCTGACAAGGATCTGTTAGGTCTTCTCTGCAAAGGACTGAGAGAGAAGAAGGAACAGGGTGCCAAGAAAGACATGCAGGGTGGAAGGGACAGGTAAGAGAACCTGAGGTAGGTGAGTGGCAGGAAAATTACCTCTGATGCTAGTTGTCTTATGTGAGAGTGGAAATATTTTGTTTGATTATCTATGCTGCCTGGTGGTATTTCAGGCATGTCAATGGATATCTTCTCATAGTGGCAACATGGAATGCAGGCCTACATGTGGCAGAGAGTGTGGGAAGGTAACTGACCTTTGAAATTGAGATGATCAGCTATCAGAGGAAAAAACAAGATGACTGTACTATGTGTTTATGTGGACATAGAATCATATTGACCAACCCAGCCTTAGATCTGTTTGAGACTATCTGGTGGTTCTGAGGTCGTCTTCTGCTGTCTTTGAGAGTATGGCTAGTATTACAGGACTGGAGGGGCCATTGGGAATGGCTAGAATGACCCTGTTTTTTGTAAGAAAATCTTAGGCAGTTTATGAACCTTTCAGCAACGAGGAGGCCTGTTCACAACCTTATGTGAAGGCTGGATGTTTTCAGAAGCCTGGAGGTAACTCTGGGGTGGGGTGATCCCATGGAGATCATGACATGTGCAGCTGGCTGTGATGCCCACCCTTATTTCCCAAAATATTGCCCAGGGACTAAAGGAGAGGCAGGGTTTAAATAGAAGAGGGTCAGGTTGATTTAGAAAAAGGGTAACTCCCTCTCCCAGGTCCCAGATAAGTTTTAAGCTCCAAGGACTTAATTTGCATCTCAAAAGTGTTATTGGTTGACTACCCTGCTATAGAGCTTTCATAAGACTGTAGGTGGGATCGGGAGGTTCTGGTGAGCCACCTCGCAAAATCAGCAGAAGAAATGATCCATTAACGTACTGCTTACAGCACGGTCCACTTCCCTGTGTCCTACTTCTTGTACAGGGAGCTTGTGGCAAGCTAGGACCAAGCTTGCTTGGTCCATATCCAAGTGGGCCGAGGTAAACTGTCCCCAACACTCCCGTGGAGGGGCTGTTGGGTTGCTCCAGCTGCTCCCACTAGTAGGGTTGGGTGAAGCAGCACTGAGTTTTCACTAACCAGCTAGCTGGTGAATCTTCTATAGTCTCTTGTTTCATTTGTGTATTTGCTGGTTGTTTAGCTGGTCTGGCAGACAAGGAGGAAATAACTGAGTAGCGACACTCCCTTATGCACAAAGTATTTGTCCATCTTTCCCATTCTAACAAAGAACAGAGGGTGACAAGCACTATAATACCTCACCTAGTGCTGCTCATTCTTAGGTGGCAAAGGGATATTTCTGCTTATCCTGCTATGCAAAATCTCTCACAGAAATGTTTGCTCTTATCAGCAGGGTTTACTATGAAAAATCAATATTGCTCGCAATAAGCTAAACTTTTTACTCTTTTGCTTAAATTTCGTGTACTTATTTTAGGCTTTTGTTAATGAGACACACATTGCGAATTTCAGTGGTGTTAAATATGCTCAGTTGCCACTAACTATGCATGAATGTGAGTATCTCATGCTTTTAAAGTTCAGCCCTTAAAGAACATGTGTGTAAACAAACACATGCAGTGATAAACAGTGAAAAAAGAAGTATGTGAAAACTGGCTTGACTTCTGTTCTCAAGATCTGTATGCAGTGGAAGCGTTGGCTTCTCTAAAATTATTGGTACCTGGAAATCTCATGCAAGAGGTCAGCTGGGTGACTTTTCTGATTCCTCCTATTCCAAGATTCGATGCACTAGACTGTTGCAATGCAGCTGGAGGTGATAAATTTGTGCGTCACTCTGACTAATTCTTCAGCCAGAAGGATGAAGGGACTTAGGATGGAAGCATTTTGAAACATGAGTCACCCATACACAGTGATGATTTTCTGTTTGCGCTGTGCAGGATCTACTTTCTGCTAGAAAACACAAGCATGGAGCCCATTAATATCTCTATAAGAAGTCATTTTTCTGAGTTCTAATGGCTGTACTTTTTCAATACCAGGTGTTCCAATGTTACTGGAATTATTGCAGTGTTTTTTTTGAATTTTTGAAAAATGGTAGATTTCCAACATACTGAAATACTTCTTATATTACTGAAATTCAATGAGCTGGACACCCAGCTTCAACAACAAAACAAAAAGACCTTTGGTTCCACCTGGATATTTTAAATTAATCTAATGGAATTCATGCAGTGACTGTGTTATAAAACAAGAATACCCCCTAATACTCCCCATATCTGTCAGGATAGAAGAGGAGAAACCACTTAATTGACCCAGGCCTTCAACTGATGAAGCTTGCACTGGGACAGCTCTTAAAGAACCAAGGTTGTAGAGTCAGGTATCATGAAATCAAAAGTCAGTTTGCTTCCTGTTACAGTGATTAGAACTGGAATCACTGTTGCAGTGATTAGGACTGGAAGATTCCTCCCAGAGTTGCTTTCAGGGTTGGTTGGCCCATGGACAAGACCTGTGTGATCCAAAGCCTGATGGTTGAGTTACTGGCTTGGCACATAGGAAATTTGGTTTTAAGTTCCTGCTTTGCCCAAAGCAGACTTGACGTTTTTCATGCCAAACTGTGTTTCACTCTGGGTGATTTGAATTTAGGACTCCACATGCCAAATGTGGTACCGCAACAATCAGGGTATGGAGCATTTGTCTTGAAATAGAAACATTTCCATTAAAACCCTAGGACCGCTGACAAAGCGACCTACTTAGATGAAATGATGTTCATTGATGAAGGTCATTTCTTAGATGGAATGACTTTCTTGAGAACAGAGCTGTTCTGGACCTGATGCTATCTGAAATACAAATGCCCTACTGGAAGCTGGGAAGGGTCGGTGAAAAACCATGTGGAAAGAACTCTTGACCCCCAAGATTGTCCATGGCACAGGACAATTTTTAAGAGAAACACCAAGCAGGTGCAAGTGGACTGGTCATCTGTCCCTTGGTCCAGTGTATTTACACAGTCCCTTCTTTGAAAAAAGGGAAAAGCCACCTCACCTTTTATAGCTATGCAGACTGGCCAACCTGCTATAGGTGGCCCTACTGAAGTGGGAGATAGATCAATCTAAAGCAAAGCTATTTTGTGGTGAAGTTCATTAGTATGTGTTGTCTGTCCTAAGAATAAATATCTCTGGACAGGTCCCGAGTCCTTTCTCAGTCTGTTTTTGTTCAGCTTTTAGTGAGGCAAAACCACTGTTGAAGCCAAGAGAATTTTCTTCTCTCAGTGGAAAACGGCAATGACGTCAGGATCTGGCCTGGTGAAATAATGATAATTCTCTGCATTTTACAAGCTCTGTTTATATGATGATCTCAATCTATTTAAAAGACATAAATCAGGCTTCAGTACCTGTCTGTTAGCTGGATGGCAAGTGGACATTTTTGCAAGCTGAGGCAGAAGGAAGCTGAAGGCTGCATCTGTGGTCATGTCATACGCTGACAACCTTTCAGTCATTTTTGCCAATGGTTGGTCTATTAGCTTCAATTGACTCTCCTCAATATCAACGAGCCAAGAAAGAAAACATGAGGAGGTGTGTATATAGATTATATTTACATATATTTACTTATAAAATGGTGGCTTAGCACGTCCAAGTACAGGCGGGTTTTAGAGAAAAATGTAATGATTCAAAGGTCCAATTTTAACTTTGCTAAAAGCAGCGAAATGATGCCCCTGCCCTACATTAAACTATGCTGTGATCAAAGAGGGCAGATGCCAAGTACTTGTGGTTTTACAGCTTTCAAATAAATATTGCTCAACCCCATAAAAAAGAGCATAAGAACAGTGAGTGGATTTTACCTTTTTTGTTTGTTTATTTATTTATTTCCAATATGCTTTACAGGGAAAGGAGGTATTGCTGCTGCTCCTTCTCAGAGTTTCTGCAGAGCACGCAGCTGTGAATGCCACTTGACCTCAAATCCAGTTAATTTAGGTTGGCACACTCGATTGCAAAATGTTTTATGGGCTGGCAGATAGCGGGCCCTGGCAGATCTGCCGTGGAGCTGCAAAGTTCCATACCCAGCTGAAACTTTTTTTAATTCAACACTGTCATTTTTAAATAACAGTGCAATTGCAAAACAAATTGGCAGGTACTTATGAACTGAATACTGCCTGGGGCTCTGTCTTTTCATTTTGCTGACCAGTGGGCCTGGTCTTCAATTTAGAAAAGCACCCAGTAGTTAAAAAGCACTGGTGAAACCTTGTAATGCAGAGCTAACCGCATCACTCATGGAGAGGGAGATGCTTGCTCTGACTTGTTGATCTTTACAAACTAGTTAGCTTCATGGTGGAGGGTAACATTTGAAAATAAAAGTGTTCCAAAGTGTCGATCTATTACAGCAAGCACCTGAGCATGAACCTTCTTTGCAAAGTTTAAGCATGCTGCCCGAGGACCTGTGTGAAGCTTCAAGGAATTTTGGAATATTAATCTGGAAGGGCCCTGTTGGGTCACTGGTCCCCAGTGCTGTCTTGGACAACCAGCTCATATGATCTCTTTCCTGGACAGCAGATTGCATCAGATACATGTGGGCCATCTCCTATAAATCAACGTAGCTCTGCTGAAGCTGATCTGTGAAGCTTCAGCTTTTGCTGCGTGGCTTTGTAAAAGTCCTTGCTGCTTTACCTATACATTTGCATTGCTGTCTCCCTAAGCATAGTAACCAGAGGTTGAACAGGATGTTTAAAACAAGTAGAGGCATTCAAGTTGTCTTGTATGAATAGACAGAAGCCAGGAAGTACCAATAACAGCATCTTTGAAGATGTTTCAGTTGCCATGAACAAGGATGATCCGGGTAGGAAACTACTACAAGAAGGAGCACCTCAAAATGATTTAATTCTCCAGCCATTAGCCCTGAGTGATATTCACACAACTTGTGGTCTTGTGTTATATGATGTGGGCCTGACCTGTACCCTGTTTAGTGGGCATCCTCTGTTCACTTAATTTACCCTGCGATGCAGCCACAGAACAGAGGGTGCCTTGCAAGCTCCATGAACATCTCCAGTCACAGAACTTTGTGAGTTACACCACTGAGATGTGATGTTGAGCTGTGGGGACAAGGGGACTGCATCTATATATTACAGGTTTCCACTTACCTGTAAGCTCTCTAGATCTTAGCACTCACTGTGGCCATGATAAATCCTGTTGTGGATGCTTTGAGGATGATGTCCGACTGCTTAGGTAATGCACTCACTTCCTTACGGGAGACCTGCCCAAGACATTTACCAACACCTGTATTTCCTAGTTAGCACTGCAGGAAAAGCTGTTTATAGTCCTTGGGCCACTGTCATTATAAGTGATCTATTTCTGAACATTGTCTGGAAACTGGAGTCTGCCAGCCTGCTCAACAGAGCATAATGTTATTTTCCTCCAAAAGAGTTTCACATAAAGCACTAGGGACTCTAACCCAGGACGAAAAAGGCAAGGATAGCACAAAGGACTATCCGTGCCTCTTTTGTATCAGTTAAGGGCCACAAACAATATTTGGAAAATTATGTGAGAGGCCACTCTTCCCAATTTGCAGCACATATACAGTGAAGAATCCAGTCAGAATATAGGAATCTTCAGTGTGTTTGAAAGTCCCTAGTACTTGCTGCTGGCATCTATATTTATTCCTAAAACCATATGGGATAAGATACCTTCCCTATTCCAAAAAAAACCCAACCCACTATGTATTCATCTTGAGTGAATATGTCTTCAAGGCTTTTTCAGAAGGGCTTTACTTGCTCTAAAAGTCACTCGTATTTAAAATATAAGTTGAGACAGGCAGAATCATTAGTACCTCCTCCAGAAAAATGGCCTCTGTAGCTATAAGAAAGGAACTCAACATGAAAGGAGACAAACAAAAAGTTTCCTGACATAAAAAAATCTATGTAAATAGATGATATACCAGACAAAAAGATGCTAGTTGTTGTCTTTCAGCAGAAGTATTTGTGAGAATATTTATGCAAGAATTTTATGGCTTAGGGTGTAGGATGTTGAGGTTTTGGTCACCTGGTGTGTATTTGTCATTTTGCCAGCATTGAAAGAAATGTCTGGATATACTTCTTCATTAATTCAGTTATGTTGGTCCTTGTAATCATGAAAGTTCATGCAGTGTGTTATGACTCTAAGAAAAGTTAAGGGACCCATCGCTTTTTAAGGCAAAATCTTTTGTTTCATGGCTTTCTCAGAAATGTGAATCATCTAGCATTGGGTGAGTCTTTTGGTCAGTTGTCTCTGCACATTGACCGGTTCAGCTGATTTATGGCCACATGAAGCCTTTTTGAAATTTCTGGCTAAGCGCCATTAAAGTTCTAAAACAATCTTCGAGGTTTTGAGTCCCTCTCTTTCTCCTCTAGGGAAGGGAAGCTTGTATAAATGTGGTTATTCTGGGAAAGCCTATGGTTTTAATTTCTTTCCCAAGGGGGCAGAGATGTCTTCCAAACCTGGTATTGAGGAAAAGGACCACAGGACTACCTCAGGAAAGAAGATACAACTTGGGAGAAGATACAAACTTGGGAGGTTGGTCTGCATTTTCTCTCTCCAAAGCTTTTTGAAGAAGATATGAATATCTTCATATTAGATATATATATGTGAATATCTGGAACTCTGTCACCTGGACACTTTCTTTCCTTTACAGGGATCTTTCTTGCAAGTGAAATATTAGAAGCTAGTGAAATCATTCCAGTGCACCCACGCCAAGTGGGTGGAAGAGGTATGTGAAAATTAAATGTATTATTTGGAAGCTTCTCTGGATGCTTCTTGCTTTCCTGGGGGAAGGAAGGACCTAGAACTGTTTGATTGTATTGGGTTTTTTCCCACCTTAATTGGCTTCAATAAGCTTTATGAACCATTTCTGTCCAAGCAGTGTTCTAACACATGTTCAAAACCTGTTCTGTTTTGAGGGCAGGCTGGTACTTGCTGGCAGGTAGGATGTAGAAATGTTCCATAGCTCTCAGTTTCAGGCTTTTTTTCACACTGTTTTGGTATTCCCAACAAACCACTCCTGTGCATCTCACATGTCAGGCGTATCAGCACACACCAGAATTCTTGGTTTTACAAGTATCTCCCTCAAAAGCCTGATATTGTGTGCACTCATTGCTTTCCCCTTCTGACACAGTGTGAAGCTCTTCAGAAAGCCCAGCTTTGCAGCCAGGTGGTTCTCTGGTCCTGCTTATTTGGCAATGAAACCATTGCTTCCCTTTGTGTTAAAAGCAGGAGCCAAAATGTCCTTGCGGCTGCTCGCCTAAGAGGCTCAACCTACCTCACACTGTAAAGAACTCTTTCTTTGTCGATGCTCTGAGTGTGATACCAAGTGACCTGCTGAAAAAGAGTGAGACTACTTGTGCTTTTAAGAGCATTTTTCAAAAGCTTAACAATTTTGCTTATCTGGTGCTTTAGTCATAACCCGGAGACACGGACTATCCTGTAAACAAGGGATCAGATTGCTTTAATGGAATCTCATTTATGAACTGGAAAGGTTGGCTGCAGATGAAGAAAGTGAGAAACATAAGAAAAGTAACAAATACCCGGGTCTTAGCAAATTGCTGTTGTTACTGAGGTTGACATGCTTAGCTGTAAGTTGGGTCAGTGGTTCCCTCCTGGCCTAATCATGCAGAAGCAACTAAGGCAGTAGGCAGATGAAGGTATTAGCCTCATGCAGTCTTAATGCTGAAAGAAAGTTGTATGGCCTCAGTACTGCAGGCCAAATGATCCCGATCTTCTCTTCCATTCTTAAAATCCAAGGCACTGACCTTCTCAAATACATGACTCATCTGTTGCCAGGAAGGTGAAAGTCCAACTATTAATGAGTTGCTTCATTGTATACAGTCTTCAAAGCCAGGCCTCTGCAATCAGCCCAGCTGAACGCTTTGGACGTCTTCCCATCACTTGATCCTAATCATGGGTCTGCACCTGGTCCAGCTTTCTGTTTGGGACAATATGTTAAAAATTCATTGTTGCACTTTTTTTTTTCCCCTTTTTAATTGACTTTTTCTTCCCCTCTGAGTTAAATGAATGCTTTATAGGATGAGAACTGAACAACATCAATGGAATGAATTGTGCAGGAGAGCCACAGGCATGGCTCATACTCAGGAGAAAGCAGGAGTATCCAGCTGTATCCTGCTTGCCTACTTTGATGTCTTTGGCTGAGAGAGTGACGCCTGATTCAGACCACCTACCCTCCAGACCCTGGCTCCCTAGGTGGTCAAAGGGGAGAAGAAATTATGTACCCGACACAGCACACCTGTAACATGCCTCGTGCATCCTTCATCACTGACTGCACAGGCAGCAGGCTTTTGGCACCCCTGGGCACTAGAGGGTTTCATCTGTTTGTCCCTTCCTTGATCTAAAATGCTGTAGGATGGGCCTGCGTCCACCTGAGGCACCACAGGATGCAGTTTAAGTGCACCATGCCAGGAGAATGCTGTGTTTGTGTTTGCCTTACCATTTCTGAATAGGATGAGATGATGATGTGTATGCTTTACCTACAAGCATTAGGCCGTGTCAGGGTAATCTCCACCCGGTCTGGAGGGACCACCTCTGGAGATTAATGCGGCTGAGGTAAATCCAGGTGGGACTTCAACTTTTTGCACACTATATTAGGGTTTTCCATGTTTTGTTTTAAACTCCTCTTGGGGTTCTTTGGGGTTTTTTTTGGGGGTGTGTGTGTGTTATTTTCAAGTGCATCAGGAGGCATGGGGAGGCTGAGAAAGCGCTTTAGAGGTGATGCTAACACTTTATTCTTCAGCCTTTGGAAGTAATGGGGACTTAGATCTCCATCGTAAGCATCTATGTACGCTTGACCGTGAAGTGAGTGACAGAGAAAACTGTAATAACAACTATGGGCATGAAGGAAACCCATGGTCAAAGGCTATATCTGCTAGGGCTTGCCCAGCTGCTGGTTATCATCCATGATGCATCTGGCTTTTCACAGTACATCTGTTTAGCATAAATAACTTTTTTTATTGATGTCCTATGGTACATCCAAACAATGAACAGAAGAAAAAAGAGAAACTGTAAATAAATTTTACAATGTCAGTAAGAGCATTCACATTAAGGGAAACTATTTTGAGTGAATGCCAGTTCTTAATAAATTGCTATTATTCTGGTGTTTTTACAAAGACCACAAGGAAAAAAAGAAGAAAAAACCAGAAACAGTTGAAAAATGGAAACACTAAATGTCACTGCTCAATCACTCCTTTTAATAATAAATACTTCTAGGCTGTTGTCCTAGCAAATGAGATGCCAAGATATTTTTTTTCATTTGGTGTCTATCTGAAAGCCAGTGGCATAAAAAAAGACCATGAGTCAGCTGGCTGAGATCCCTTTCCTGAATGCTCCCCGGGCAGCTGTGTTTCAACCCATATTACTGGCCCTGGGTCTGAGGAGGCTTTCTGGCACCTCGGGGCACACCTGCCTAAGCAAGAACTTTGCAGAGGTGCCTGCACTGACTCTGAACCCACAAGCTCAGCCCTCAGAAGGAGGAGAGCCCTGCTGCCATTGCCCAGCTGGTGTGTCACACTAAGGACCGGCAACACTTCTTAAGACAGCAGGTTTTGCTAAGAAGGATGACTACCGTCTTAATTCCCACTTACTGATGCCTTGTTTGTTGTAGTTTCTCAGAAATGAGATCTTACAGTCCACTCTGCTCAACCATCCGAATCTACCCCTGGAGGTAAAACTCACCCTTTCTGAACATTAACTCCTGGGTACTCTTGGTTTAACTCTCTAGGACCACGTGAACTTCACAAGGAAATTTCCAAATCTCTGTATCAATGAGGCTTCAATGGCAAACCATAATTGTGGGCAGCACACTGCACAGTGACAGTAGTCTTTTCCCACAGAGTTTTTGTCACTGAGCATCATGGGGATACAGATTCACATTTCAGGGGTCCCAGCAAACATTCTTCTTTTTTTCCCTCTTTTTAATTTTTTTTTTTTTTAAGTGACCAGGCTATTTCATCTGTGTCTATTTTACAGCCCCTGTGAGTTCCCTCAGTTAATTTTTGTCTGCAGGGGTTCTGGGAAGCTGTGGTCCTGGTTTGGCATCTCCACACCTAGAGGAGCCCTTTGCTGATAAAAGCTGCTGGCACCACAGGAGAGGGGTATGTGATGTGTGGTGGTCCTGGAAATCTTACATTAAAAATATGGATGCCCCATTTGGTTTTGGAAAATCAAGTGTTGGGCTGACCATGACCAATGCTGATTGAAGGTCATGGCCGAACACGCAGGCATACTGGAAATGATGCCAGAGGACAGGGCTCTCAAGCCACAGTGGTGCCATCATTTGCACTTCAAAGGTTTGCAAACCTTGCAGATACATGATACTGCTTCCTTGTCAGGGAGAATTTCCTGGGTAAGATAGCTGTGCTCCTGCATATTGGTGGAGGTGGCACTAAAGTTTGGGAGGTCAGGCACCTACAGACGAGGAGATGTTGGGCTGTATTCCAGTGACACAGGCACCAGTAGCTTGGGACAGTCTAGGGAGGATCTTGCCATCCTCTCTTTTTCTGATGTGGTATCTGGAGCTGCACCCAGAAAGTCTAGTGTTTGTGCAGAAAAGGTGGTTTTTCCAACAGAGAGAGGGCTCATCCTCCAGGAGCGTGAGGAAGCCAACTCTCTTGGTCATGGTCTGCTGTACCCACCACAGTCTGCCAGCCAAAGAAGCAGACCCGGAGCCTGAATGAGCTCTTTTGCCTTTTCACACACCCCAGAAGGCTTTTATAATGAAATAAGGCCAGAGCCCAGTGAGCCAAAGGGAATTAGAGATGTTGTATGTGCTCACATGCTTGCTTCATGGGGCAATTTTAATGAGTAATTGATTGCTAATTATATGTGCTGCTTTGTGGTGAAACATCATGGTACTTTGATATCGACCAAGAACTGAAAGTTTCTGTTATGCTTTTATTTTTTAAAAACTTTTGGCCTGCTGATCTGTATGGGGTATTTTGTGCCTGATTAATTTAATGTATTGTCTTGGGTGAGTGTTGATTTACTTGCTGAATTCAAGATCAATTTTAATGAAGCTCTTAGTGCGTGCTGGTTTGGGGACGCAGGGTGCCATGTTATTGGTTTGTCTAGATTGCTGACTGTTTTGTTAGACTTCAATAAGAAAACTTCTGGCATAGTGACAGCTTCCCACTTCCCTACAATTGAGTAGACAACAACAGAGCTTAAAGACAGAATTTTCTACAGTATCAGGTTCCAGAATGCTGATGTTTCTTTTCCAGAGAGATTTAATAGCAGGATGAGACAAAAGGATACGCAGCAGGCCTGAAAGGTCCTTCCTCTCCTGAGTAGTCCCCATCAAGCCAATGGGTAAATGTCTGCAGAAGAGGACCACACTGAAGTTCTGTTGGTAGGTGAACAGCAATGCTTGCCAAACAAGGCACCCCATTCAATCTGTTTTCAATGATTTAAAACTGAGCTAGAAAATGTGAATCCAGTCAGGAATTTAGCATTTAAATTATACACTTGAGATGACTGAGCCTTTTTTTTTTTAAATACAATTTAAAAAATTATAATCCTGAGGGATGTGGAAGGAGTTAGGGCATGGAGACGACATGAAAGCAGAGTCCTTTCACATGCTGCTTGACATTTCAGTAATTCTTCAAGCAGCATTTTTTACTTCTTTTAAATGTAAAATTTTCTTAGCCAAGTTTGCAGCAAGAGAAGACTGAAGTTTAATCTTTTTAACATATGCGGTCTTGGTATTGAGATAGTTCTTTATGTTTGTGCTGCTACCAGTGTACACATATACTCACCTGGCTTCAAGCTTAGAAGATACTAGCATTAGAAATGTTGCAGATGATGCAGTAACTAAAGCATTTGGCTATGTGGTGGACTCAGGTGATTTTGAATGTACAGATGTAAAATTAAAGTGTAAGTTATATACTGGATACTCACAAACTATAGGATATATATATTGCATATATAAAATTAAATATAAGTGCATTTAAGAGTGTTTCTAGTAATAACCTACCTCGTTTAGGTAGTAATTCTAGTAATAACTTATCTTGTGATTAACAAGATTAGCAAGCAATAAGTGCAAATTTTGTTCTTAATCAACGCTGCTAGGAAATAATGATTAATGTAATAAACATGTATTAATAGTGGACAGCTGACTTGGGCATCAGGGAATTAACCTGAACCTCAGAAGCTCTCTCTTCATTTCCCTGCACTGTTAGACTCTTCTTGACTGACTGCTGATAGTACCCCTTCAGCATTCGGGTATCTGACTGTTGTTAAAATCAGTGGTAGGTAATGTTTGAAGGTGCTGCCAGGGAACGCAGGAGTGAAGAATATTCAAGTGGTTCTCTAAAACTGTGGGTCGAGGTAACTATGGAGCCTTTCACCCAGAAAAATTGATGGTCCTGATCTTCAAGCACCTAAATCTATGGATTCAGCACTAGTGATGAAAAGCCACCTTGCCACCACTCTCTCCCAGCTACCCCTTCACCACCATCTGGCCATTTTAGGTGCACCAACTTGTTGTGCATCTCTCCCATGCTGCGAGTGGGTGCAGCTCCACTCCCCAGCCCAAGGCAAAGTTCCTCAATAGGAGTCTCAGTTTCACTACTCTAAAGGGCTGCCACGCATCTGGTATTTTTATTATTTGTCATTTGATTTCCCACTGGGTGTGGCCCTTTTCCCACCTGGAAATGGTGACTTGGCAGGTTATAAGTTTTTCTGTGATCTGGTTGTCAGCCTTGACAGCCAGAAGGTGCTACTTCATCTTGACTGTATAGTCATAGGATAGATAAACACAAAAGTTCCTTATGTTATGAGTTGAAATCATGGTTATGTTTTGTTTTTCTTTCTGCACTGACTGCATGGAAGCTGTGTAGTGTATCTCCATCACCTCAGGGTGTGATGGATGGATCTAGCACTGATGACATGCATGTAGGTGCTAAGTTCAGCGCTCCCTGATGTCAGGCACAGAGTGGATGTTGAGGCATCTCCAGAGTAACATTGATAGCTCTAGAATTGATCAGTGGCTCTGGGACAGTGTTCAAAGCACAGAGCGTGAAAAACACCTAGGGTGGGAGTCCAGAAGTCCTACGCATGTCCTGCTCAGCTGCCTTGGCCCAGGCACTCAGCTCTGCTCCTCTGAGTCTCAGTTCATTTGCTTTCAAGGCCATCTCCCAGAGCCATCTAATTGTCCCCAGGCTCTCTGCAAGGAGCCTTTATGCCTAGGCACTGGGGTCACAGCAGGAGGGAGCCCACAAGCTGTCAGGGCCTCTCAGGGCTAGATGTGACCACAGGGAGTGGCAAAATGCCAGAGTTTTGCCATATGAGTAACATCCACACACTGCGCTGACTGTCCCTAATGACTGAAGATGAAAATTTCCCCATCCTTGGGTTTCTCCTTTCCTCCACACTGGCATGCCCATTTATCTTGGAGGCTACAGTTTTGAGTAGCCCTCCCAAAGGTCCCCACCAGTGAGCTGGGTGGTCAAAGCCATTTACGAGAGTCACATTGTCTGCTTCGGCTAATATGCTTTAATCCAAGGCTATTCTTCTTCCTCTTATCTGATCACAGTCCTCCAGCTGTGCAGTATGTGCCACATATAAATTTAGAGAACATAAATAATTTGCTTTGTTGAAAAGCTACCCATGATATACTCATTGCCTCTTCCTCTTTCAATCCGCACTTGCTCACAGTGCCCTCCTTGCCCTTCAGTGCTTTCGCTCCCTCGGCATGAACATGCATCTTCATTTTTATCCCACTTTAGGACCCACTAATAACTCTTTCCCCAGTGCACCATCAACACGCTGGAGGAGAGCACAGGAGTGGTAATTCAGGGCGGTGATGCAGTGCCACGCTGGGAGGAATGCTCAGATGGCCGTGGCGTGCCAGCACGCTGCTGGCAGCTGGGCACCATCCACCACAAGCAAGTCGCCCTGCCGGCATTCAGCTGTGCTGCTAGTGCTTTAACACGAGAATATCATCACAAAATGGTGGCTGGCAGGCTTTAGTCGCAGGAAGATATCATTTGGGCTGCAGTTGTTGGCCACTTGAAGCAGGTACACTGGTGTCCCAGCTTTTTGCAAATCTTGCTGTACTGTTTTCAGTCATTGCATGTGGCTGGTGGGAGCTCCTGGCAGAAGTCACTCTTGTGCAGAACGATCTAGTAACTCAGAAAGTTATTGTTGTCTGAATAAAAGTGTTTGAACTGAAGCTTCAGGAGGACTAGTAGCGAGCAGAACATCTGGCAAATAACTGGGACCGAGTAATTGAATTTACTAACTCTGCATCAGGGAAGGATTTCTTGTGTGATTTTTCAGCATTTTGTTAGTACGAGTAAGATTACTTCCCTCTAGTAATCTTGGTAGATGATGAAAATAGTGGAAAGCTTCACTGGACTTCAGATCAGGCCCTTAGAAAAGACAATGGTCATAGCAGCCATCTGCCCTGAGACTCAGCTTCCCGACATATTCACCTCTCTGTTCTTTACATAAGGGTACATTCTCTCACGCATGGAGGGCTGGACAGATGTGGCTCAGGCTCTTCCCCTGTAGTCTGACCCAGTCACATCCCAGCAATTGCTAATGGGACAACTCAGCTTGTTCAGCCCCTCTGGGCATCTGCCTTGAATGCCACCCACATGAGCTTGAAACATCAGTGGGGTTTGTTTAATTGGGGATCAAACGCAGGGGTTGACAAAAGTAATTATTACCTCCTGTTTGTAAATGCACATACACTGATGAGTGTGAAACTGGACTGGGGTAGATTAGCCCCTCTTTGTCATTGTCCACATCCCTTACCTTCTGCTGACTCCCACAGAAAGTCCTCTTTGTTGGCATGCCAACCGTTGTTTCCTAGCACGCTTCTTCTAGAAATCCCTGCTAAGTGTATATTGTCTCCCCAAGAAGGTATGAGTGTGGCAGCACACAGTTTCAAGTAGTCAGTATATGCACAAGCAACTGTTAGCTAGGGTTTTTTTTCAAAGAATTTTTAACTTCATCTTTGGTTGCCTCAGCTGAAGGAAAGGTCAAAGGAAGGTGTAGAGAAAATGAAAAGTGTGTAAAAGCTGGAGGGGCTTTCTGCTGCGTTGAGGGACCTTCTATGCCTTGCCTGTTATGTAAAACCCATCAGAAGGAGGGGGGAATAAACAAAAGAATTTTCTTCTCAGCATGTGCTGGGACCCAGCACTGCAAATAAATGCATTGTTAGTTGAAATCAGTGTTTTGGTTTCTCCCTTCCTTTGTGAGATGCTGTAGAGGAAGCAGATTAAAGATTGCCAGCTTTCTGGCAAAATATACTGGTGGCATCATAATGACTTCATTATGGTCTCTAAATGAGCTAACAGACTAATAATGTATTCAGGAAAAAATACACATTATGAACATGCACACAGGTGTAGGGTTAACCCCTTCTTTGGTGCCCCTTGCTTTGAATCCAGCTACTGCAACTTAAGCCACAGTTCAGCGCCTCTACTAGCTGGGTAGCAAAGGATTTAATTCAACAGCTGCGTGCCAACTAATTGCAGCTGTATTTCCTTCTGAGTTCATCTACAATGCAAACAACATGGCAGCTGTTTGTTTGTTTGTTTGTTTGCTTGGCTGGTGGTGGCTGGGAATGCTGCTGCTAGGTGGAAATGCCAGCACAGTGGTGCAGAAGCTCTGGGGGGTTTGCAGCTCAAACCTCCTTTTATTAAAAGGTCTTTCAAAAGTGGATTATATGACATACCCCTCCTTTGGTTTTCCCTTATTGCTTCACATGCTGCATAAAACATGTTCACTGGAGGAAATGGAGATTCAACAGTAGGCCAAATCCTTCTGCCCAAACACATTCTCTACCTGCCTTGCTGATGTTTCCTGCACCTCACCTTCAGCATCACCAGACCCAGACTCTTACTGTCCTCATCACAACTCCTGCCCCCTCATCTCTGCCTTCATCACTTTCTGCCTCTACTTATCTGTTGCTTAAGTCTCTACATAATTATTCATTTCTGGATTATGCAAAAATCTTCCAGAATGTCCTTGTTGGCCATATATATCTCTTCCATGTTTTCTCTTGAGGTCTTCTGGACGTGGTAATCTGGACATTCTGGTTACAGAATAGAAGCATGGAAGCACAGGATACACAGGATGTTCTGCACAAACATACTGGGAAAAGCCAATGTTTCCAAAATGTGTGGGACTTCTATTATGTGTGAAGAGCAGCTATGAAACACTTGTTCAGGCTTCTCTGATATGGCTCAGAAAACTGAGATCTACCTGCCAGGTAAGTGGTACCTACAACGATAGGTACTAGTCAGGCACCGTTGCTGTATGGTAGGATGTACTCATATAGTGGGAGTTTCTGGGATGTGCAAAAGTCTGTCAGCTCTGCTGCTGAGGTCTCTCTGCATCTGCCAGAAGTCCAGAAATCCAAACAAACATAAGAAATGTCCTGAAATATCCTAAAAATTGGCAGAATTTCTAGGTGGAAGAAGAGCATAGGTTCAGGAAAATATGAGCACACGGGAACAAAGCCATCTTTAATGTAAGCCACGTTTAATGTACAGACTTGCTACCCTGTTCCATGAATATGTGAACTTACGTATCCCATTTGCTGATGGATTTGTATCTGGATGCAGTGACTGATGGAAGCTCTTATGTCATTGGGATCATCTATATGGTGTCTCTCTCTCCCATATGATGTTTAGTACAGAGTGAATTCATACCAAAGCCCGTGGATGGCGTGGCCAAGGCAAAGACTTTTCTAGGGTCTCTGTCTTCTGCTTGTCCTCTGTTTTCATGAACTATGTAGGAGTTTTCTATTTTGAGATGCCTGTTCACTTGCCAGATGTGGCTGAATTCAGTCAATGGATGCAAAAATTATGAAATAGGACAAGAGATGGACACTAACACATGGATAATATGACCATATCGGAATTCTTCCCTTAATAAATGAGGGCAAAATCTGCTAGCTCACTTCCTGGTCTTCCACCCCACAAAGAGCTGCAATGCCCTTTTTCTGGCCTTACTCTACCCACCACCATACCCAATAACTTTCTATTGAAAACATAGTCTAGTGAATATTGTGCTCACTGTGCCAAATCTCTCTGTTCAACCAATACTCTGTGTTTTGTTCCCTATTACATGCCAGCTATTTGTCCACATAGTCCTATTGGAGAGGTGCCTCTCTCCCTCATTCTTGTTGCATCATGTTTGGTGAAAAGTCATTTCCCACCTGCCTTGTTGCCTGCACCTGACATCAAGGTTAGGGTTTTAATCTGAGTTCTTCCTGCTCTCTTACATAGTGCCTCTTTGGTGAGAGAGCTTCCCAGGAAAACCTGCAAAGTTGCTTCATTATTTGCTTTCAGATTCCCTGTCCCTGGGCTTATGGGACAGCAGCTTGGCTGTGGCAACAGCCATACACTATGCTGCTGACTGTGCTCTGTGGTATTTTCTCCTTACTTCCCAGCACCCCTAATCTACATCCATTTATTGTCTTCAGTCACTGTCCATGAAGTCTCTGGACCAGAGTTTAGTCAAGGGGTTTGCTCTTCCTAGCACAGTTGGATACTAACCTAAAGACTGAGTCTCTTAGGCAACATGGTACAGCAGTAAGTAATAACATCCCATGGGTAACAGTAGTAACAAATCCAGCCCTTCCCCAGCAGAGGAATTGTACGTTGGGATCATTTGTGAGACAAGCACTGCACCTGCAATAGAGAGGGACCCATACCATAAGTCAAGCTGCTATGGCTGTGTCCAGTCCTCTTTCTGAATGTGGGGCAATGGAACCTAGGAAACTGAATGGTCAGCAAACTGGTTGGAAGAACCATTGCTTAAACTGGCATACTGATGGGAAAGTGCAAGAGAATGAGAAGGACATGTCTGAGGTACTAATTATTCTGCAAGGCCAAGATAACCAGGAGATGCCAGGCCAGTGCTTGTCAACCTGGTCCGCTGAAGCTCACCAACCCTTTCTTAAGGAAATAGCATCTTCTAGTGTGTTGTTGCTGATGGTTTACACTTGCGATCAATTTAAAATGAAATTAAAATGGCACTACTTTTCCAGTTTTGATCCACTCTCCTCCCATTTTGTTGGTTCTTTGGCTGCTTCTGGGGGTGGGGTGCATTAAAGAAAAGACTAAGTACAAGCCTGATGTACTTACTTTCTGAAACCATATCACTGGTCTTTGGTAATCAGGTTGAAAACACCTCCTTTGAAGAGCTAGACTGCAGAGCCCAGGAGTCTAGCTGGCATGCTTCTAAATGGACTAATCTTCTTAAATTGCTGAGGCATTGCTTCACTATTTTTATTGGTCACACCATGACAAGAAGTTCTCTGCAATGACAAATTCCCGGATAGGCTGTGAGCCTGATCAACAATGCTGATTTACTATGCTCCATGCTGTCCCTGCCAAAACTGATGACTATATGCAGATGTACGTGTAAGAAAAGGCGTCTGGGACTCGTTTATAAACAGTATATAACAAACAGTTCTTCTGTAAAACAAGCTATTGTTTATGTATGACTGCATCACCACTGCTTCTTTTTAAGGTTTCTGTAAGAAGCGGGCAGTTGCCTTCAGCAAGTACGTAAGTGGCTTGGCTGTTCCATAAAAAGTGGAAAACAGAGAAGTTTTTTGATTGAGGGTGAAATTTAAGGTATAAGTGGCTATTATCCACGTCTTCTCCTCCTCTGAGTCTGCAATAAAGTAGACCGAGGGGTAATAAAGCTGTTGAGCTGGCATGAATGACTCTTGAGATGATGTTCTGCTTAAGTCTTTATTCCTTTCAAGCTATTTTCTTGCTTTAAAACTGCTTTTTAATGTATGTAGCTTAGGAGCTATTTGTAACAAGCAGGAAACTCTGGCTGCATCAGGTACCATTCGTGAACAACAAAGTCACGTTAGAAGAGTGTATGGATTTTCTTTGGAAACACAAGGGATTTTTTTTTGTAGGAACTCGGTTTATTAAAACAGATAAGGTGTATAAGAAGCAGAAAGTCCTTTTCTGCTGCCACTAAAGATATTCAGGCTAGGGTTTTCAGATCGATTCAGGTACTGGGCAGCCTTAAATCACCCAGAAAATGGTGGTTTGTGTACAATGTTATTCACTAAAATGACCTGGGGCAAGCCTGGACTTCAGAGGCCTATAGTCAGACCCTCAGTGATCCACATTGATTCTACCAGAGCAGCCCAAATTCATACTGGATGGAGATATAGCTATGAAGACTGAGGCGACAGCAATTGTTTTTTTTATTTTTCCCATTTACTGCCAGGTCTTCAAGAAGCTGGTGATCAGCTCCTGTTCTCAGTTCATGACTACAACCTGGTTGCACTGCAGCCTAAATGGCCCATATCGTCCTTCTTTTCTGATATTTTTCCTCTGGAACATACAGGAAAAAAAATATAGCACACAATGCATCAGTTTCCTGTTCCAATCCTATGAATGTTTTATGGAGATGAGCCAGCTTTGTTCCCCATAGTGTGTTTGCATAGGGTTTGGATGCAGAGTTTTCCTATAGGGACAATGAACATGTCACCTGGAAGAGCAGCTGGTTTGCACGCAACCTCAGCTACCTCTGGCCATTGGGTGCCAGAAGTGAACAGTGTGGCACCCACAAAATATTTCATTCATGATAGCATAAAGCTAAGCAGCAGCTGGGTTTGCATGCTACAACTACATTTCTGTTTGCCTGCTCTACACATAAAACTTGCCACCAGCACGGAGAATGTATTCACAAGAGAAAGTTTATTGATAGGAAAACAATTGAAGGAACTGAGCACTTTCCAAAACCAGTAAGTGGTCTTCAAGGAAGGTATCTTTGAGAACCAAAATTCTTGTTAATGTTCAACACCTCTTATAAGGATACAGTACTCAGCAGAAATATGCAGGAGTGAGGCAGAACAAGGCTGTTCATGTAGGAGAAAAAAACAACTATCCTATAACATGCTATAATGCAATCCTAAATCCTTTGGAGGTGATGCAAAAACTTTCACTAATTCTGAATAAAATTTGGATGGGAGCTATACAAAGTACAAACTGAATACTCCAGGGAATCCAGGTCCTAACAGTGGGATCATCATTTTCTTTCAAGAAAGTGATTGGGAAATGGTGTTCACTTCGGGGAAGGCTCTTTATTGGAAAGATTTCATCCTTATTAGACTAGTGTAGAAATGAGAACCATCATCCATATCAATGATGATAATACAGATTCTCAAACACAATTACATGCTTACACTGAGATGGAAAAATGAAGTGACCTGAATTAAAACTGTGACGGTATGAAGAAAAGTGAGAAAGGTCAAAGGAGCCCTCCATGTGCAAAAGGGGATAATACGTAAGAGGACAGGGTTAGAAGAGGAACTGAAGGTCCCGGGGAAAAAGACCAGAGAACTGATGAGATAGCTGGTGAGGGGGACTCTGTGAAAATATTCTGAAAGGAAAGAGAAACCGAAACATTGTTTGGAGAATGTAGGGCATCTGTGACAGCTTCCTGCCGATTATACACTGTAAAAATGGCAAGTCACTGGCTGCTTTCTGCGCTTGATATTTAGAGGAGACTCTGCATTTCGTCTCTCAACATTCTTTCCTGCCCCCTTGGGTTGGCATCACTCTGTCATGCACTCACAAGACATCATTTTAAGGAAAAGAAAGATTGAGGGCTTTTTGTTGGTTTCTGTTGGGCTACTTTTTTATTTATTTTTTTTTTTTCAGAAAGAGCCTAGCATTGACCTAAAGCTGTTCCCAATGAAGTCAGTGGTAAAATTCCCACTGACATTTCATTAGAGAACAGCTGTAGTGTCATGGAGGCTTTTTGAAAACACTGCCCTCTGCACGCCAAACAAATCAAGAGCAAACAATGCAAACCAGATCCTGCAGTTGAATTCATTTCTGTCCCTGTTTCTGGGCCAGAAGCAATAGGAAGTGTGTGCAACTAAGTGAAGACTCTGGAAGTGATGGGGTGTGGAGGTGTGCAGTGGGTGTATTTTAGGATGTCAGGGGAAAATCCTTCCAGCAGAGGTGCAGAATAGTCACATGCTGACTTTAAAGGGCCTGTTGTGACATGTGGGGATGATCCATCTATCCTTCAGGTTTATTTGTCCCTATCTTCTAATTTGGGTTGGAGTCATTCAGATCACATTAAGGTAATGTTTTTTCACCTCCTGCTATTTTAGTACTTTAAATATTAGAGATCCATAACTTGTAAGTCTACCAGGAAACTATTTTTTCCATATTTCCAATTTTGTTTGTGTTATGAGAAACAAGGCCTGTGAGGAGAGACTGTATCCTTCAATAGGTCAGCTGATATTTTGATGAATGTCGTTACAAGCTCATTTAGAGCAGTGTTTTCCAATGTCTCCCGATTAGTAGACCCCTACAAAATTTTTAACAGAGGTGAAGCACAGCATAAGCACAGTGATAACTCTCCTTCTCAGCCACTTTTCCCAGATCCCTTGTAAGTAGTTCACACGCTACCATGGGTCTGTAGGCCAGAGGATGGCCATCACTAATTCGGGGGCTCTTTTAAAGCTTTTGCCCTTAGGCAGTGTAAAAGGACAGTGAAAGAGACCACCACTGCCCCAGACAAGTGCGAAGTTAAACAGACAAGATCTGAGTTATGAAATACAAAGAGGAAAGAGACTTTGAACTCTTTTACTTTCTAATGAGTGAGTGAAAACTGACATCTTTTAAAGCTAATTTGCAAAGAACAGTGCCACTAGTTTCCGTTAGTCCCTCAGTCCACCTCTATCATTACTTGCCTCCAGGGAGACTGATCTGTGGCTATCAAAAATAGACCACGTTTTGTCAAAAGCTTTTTTGTATGCAAGGCATCTGTGTGCTCTGTTTCAAGTTCTTTGGTAGATAAACTCAGATTCCTCCTTCCAGAATTGTTGGGGTAAATACTTGAAAATATTTTAAGCAACCCTTCGTATTGAATGCAGGAAAAGTGATCATGGGGGACCTTGGAAGTCTGGCCATTCACAACACTGCATCTGTAGTTCAATGGCTTGCAAATTGTGTCACATCTGAAAACTATCCTCAGGCAAGAGCGCAGTCTAACATGTCCAAATGTAACTAGGTCACTCTGTAAGTATATTCTGAATGGGGTCTTGGTTTCCCTATTTGTGCAAATACTTACTTGTCTCACGTGAGTATTGGTGACAAGTCATTGATTTATGCTGAGATAATACTTTGAAAGTGCAAAACATTGTACATGTCACATATTACTATTGTAATGGTCCAGATCCTTCAGATTTGGTACACTAGCTGGCTTTGAACCGATGTGGAAATGCTGTGTACTCTATTCTTAAGGGCACTATAGGCATAGTTAATTCAGTTTTGTTTCTAAATACTCAGTGGGTGCATGCATTGGAAGCACTGACTTCTTTCTATTGTGTTTAGACCCAATGTGAACCTAAGTGCTCTGAGCCTGTCACCTTGTGCAGCCATGAGAACCTGGAACTCCACGTCCTAGGGTCGCTCCAGTGCTCCACATTTTGTTATATATGATAAATCAAATGACAGGTATGTGCATTTCGGGCTGCTGACTGGGCAAGAGGATACAGAAAAAAGTCAGAGATAATGGTTTTCTAGTGACTTGCTTCTTAAGGTCTAGTTCAACAGCTTTTATGGGTTAAGATGTAAGGCATTTGTCCTAAAATAGTTGCAGTATGGATTTAATCTCAAACATCAAGTCATGCTGCTCTTTTCTACTACGCCAGCTTCCCCCCACATGTTTCTGACTGTTACTGTCCGGTTTTCTCATGGCTCAGTCTAGGAGTTTGCAAGCCTGTTCATCTCCCAGATGACAAATTTTCTAGTCCAAGTGCTTGTGACTGCGGTGACCATGACACCAATGTCTTCCTTTGTTTTACTTCATATCTTCTTATGCATTACTGCTGGTTTCTTTTACTGCTGTTCTGTAAAACCCCTGTCTTCTACTTACTCCTTGGGCTCAGAAGCCTCAAGGTGGTCTGCAAGACTGTTGTTTTATCCAAATTACACTTTGGTTAAGGTCAGCAGCTGCCTCCTCCTAGAAAGTCACAGTGTCTTCTATTAGCTGAGTGACAGCAACTGCTTCCCAGGTGCTTTCAGAGGGTGTGCTCTGGCTGAGCTCTGGGCCTGCTGTGAGCCAGGAGACTGGGATGCTGTCTTTTCACCTAAGAACCAGCAACTTCCATTTACAGCATCCTACTGAATCCAGAATTCGCCACTGTGCCGGCTGTGGCAACCCTCCCATGCATTTCCCTCTGGTGTTGCACACCTCTTTCTCAGATGTGAAGATCCCTGGGTGTTTTGCAAGCAGCCACTCATTTGAGATCACCCCACAAATTTATACCTTGTTTACACCCTACCAGGACCCTATAGTGGGATTCCTTTGGCTGAATTCTGTGGGATACGGATCAGGCCCTTAAAGAGGAAAGAAGACGTCCATCCATTTTCTGGAAGGTGGGCATCTGTCTGGAGGAGAGAGGAGCTGCTGGCTGTACATTTCCCCTTGAAGTCTTCAGGGTGCTCACACAGGGTGAGAAGTTTGAGATGAGATCGCTTCCACGGTTGTTCATTTTACAGTTCTATTAAAAAAAAATACATGGGGGAATTTTCTAGATTCCATCCAATCCATAATAACTTTTGAAAAGTTAATTTGCTGCAGCTGCTTTATAACTTCTCCTAAGGCCACAACTCAACATGATTACACAACCGCAGTAACTTTTATGGCCGAGTGGAAACACTATCCTGGTTTTGTTGTTCTACAAAAGCCAATATTTGGTTTAAAGATTCCCTTGGATTTTTAATCCACTTTGCTAGGAAATCTCACTCACCACCAGTATTTTTAGAGACTTCACCTGCTTTTGTACCTGCTTCTTGCCACATTTCTGACAGGTCTACTGCCTATTGGAAAAAAAACTCACAACTGTCCTCCATCCTCTGGGGTATGAAATACGTCATTGGTGTTTTCTGTTAGGCTCTACTATGCAGGTCTTAATGGGGACTATTCCTGTTCCTCTTTCCTGATAACCCCCTCCTGTGTGAGAGCAGTGTGTTGAACACAGCATCTAGCTGGCCGGCCCCTGGGTATGCTAATAAAAGTTCTGCTTCTCCAATCAGCCAGTTTTGCCCGAGGAGTCTGTCAGCAAAAATAAAAAGGATATTTCTATTTAAATACCATACAGTGGCTGCGCATTGAAAACATTTTTACCGTGGTAGCACACATGCCACTACCAATAAGAGTGTATTGCTGTTATAAGTTGGCTGTTAAAATTCAACCAGGACTAAAAATTGCCATAGTCTCAGCCTAAAAGGTATTTGTTTATTTTGACAGGTTATTTAAAACAAGTAATGAAAAATAATTAGTGGTTTTGGACTTCTGCCTTGCATTTTTCTGTTTCAAAACGTCTTAGATTATATTTTCTGGTGATTGGATCCTGACAGAAGGCTTATATCTTGGGGAGGAGTGGGAGCAAAAAACTAGCAGGCAAATTCTGGGGTTCCTTTATAAGAAAAGAGTATCTAGTTCATTTTCAGGATGAGAACAACTGCAAGACCTTTCTGCTGAGCAAGTGTTGAGTTTTTCCCCACTGAGAATACAAAAGGGATATTCAATGACTTTTCAAATCAAGTGTAATTACAGAGGTATAATAAACATCAGTACAAATGATCATTTTTGCATTTCTCTGTTTGGATAAGGGATTAGAGCCTTTCCACCTGTAACATGCTGAGCCTCTGAAAGGCCTGAAGAGACACAAGTGTGCTCCTGGGTCCTCTTCATTCGTAGGTGGAAGTTTTTGGCTGAGAGATGAATCCCCACATGATCAGCCTTGTAAACTAAAGGCAGGCACCAAAATTTGTACATAGATAATTGCCCTGAGATCCAGGGAACACAGTGCTCTCCCAAATTCAACGGGAGGTCTGGCTGGCTGTGTAACATTGCCGTATAGGTGTTGAATCTGAGACACATAGTCCAAATATTAAAAAAAAAAAAAAAAGATGCCAAAAATAAGGGTTCTAAATCTATACTTGGACAAATAAACCAACACCTGATTTTCAAGCTACTGAGCACCCAGTGGCTTGGCCCCAGGTTTGAATACTTTGGCTTACGTGACTTGTCCAAAGCCACACAGGAAATCTGCTGCAATTCCAGGAATAGAGCAAAGATCCTGTGCTTTAACCGCAAGCTGGCTATGTTTTATTTGTCAGCAGTCATTCCCACAAGGAAGCTAAACCAGGGATCTCACTACATCTAAAGTCAGCAGGGTTACCTACTGGTAATGAAGCTAAAAGACGTTCCTTGTTCTCTGAGCAAGTAAGTTTTCTACGAGACCCTGGAGCAGCAGCTGGGTGCTTTGAAGAGCCTGTCTCCTTAGGACTCATGAGATCAGACATCAGAGTGAAAGGACAGTACACCCACTTCTGCATCTTCTGCATTTCAGGCTGCTGCACGGGTTGAAACTGTGCAGATCAGAAAAGCTGTTGTAGGCGTAGAGGGGAGAGGTGGGGCAAGTCCTTTAGTTTCTTTAATGAGCTGTTTCAGGGGTACCTAGCAGGACAGAAGCTCCTCTGCCCACAGCTGATCTGTTTTCCATTGGCAGCTGTTAACATGCTGCTTCTCTGCCACATGCGGTGGGCAGTCTAAGAGTAGTTCTTCCAGTCCTGACCTTGGAGATATCACTCCTGGCTGCTACCTGCCATTGCCCATAAGGCTGTGGAGCCGGCATCAGCTTCTGTGTCACACTCTGGCTCTGAACCTGCTCTGAAGTCTAGGAGCGCCCACCCCCACCCTTCACTGTTAGCATGCACGTTCAAGAGGACCGGTGGTCAAGACCACTTCTCATTCTCTAAAGCAGAGAAATTGGAAGTTCAGTGGCCAGAGCTGGAGCCCAGATTTTTCTTTCAGTGGGCTGCACACAGGAAGGATGGACGAAGCCAGATATCCAATGGGCAGAGTCCCTTCAAGGAGGGCATCGATACATATTGTGGATGCAAAGTATGCTTGAAGCCAGCTCATATGTAGGGATGATCTTACACTGCTTTTAGGAGTTCTTCACATAGACATAACTGCCCTCATGCTACCAGGCTATGCGTGCCGGATGATATCAAACACATTCAGACCAGTTGAAACCAAAGACGAGCCCTAAATTGATATAACTAACTGTTTGTTGATACTATAGTTCTTTACCAGGGAAATCCAGCTTTTATGAAAGAACTGGTCGTTGCCTCTCTAATTGCATTTAACTACACTTCCCATAAATATCAGAATGGATTTTATAATCTGTTATTTCACATGAGCTCGAACTGTTTCATACAGAACTGTTATGGAGGTGAGAAGATGCTGCAGGAAAAAAGCATTGAGCCACAGTTTTTGTAAAGAAAATGTTGAGACTCTCTTCAGGGTATATGCATTTGACATTGTATAATGCCAGACAGTGGTTTCCAAATGACATCTTATGTAACTCCTGAGTCAAGTAAGATAACAAAAAGGTCTGTGTTGCAGTCAAATAACCATAACTAAAATCTCTCTGAACATTGTACTTATATACTTATTGCTAAACCAGTAAGGACAATTACAAATTACAAAGTAGAAAATGTTTGAACATTCATTACCATATTTCTTCTATCAAGGCAAACCGCACATTCCTCTTAGACACATGCCAAATGTGAGGCTTTAAAGAAAATGTTTCTTGAGTTATCCAAGTATAAGGAGCATCTGAGTGATTTTCTTAATTGTTCAGATTGTTCGGCGCTAGTCTGAACAGATTTTCTTCTCTCTTAAAAGAAAATACATTGAATTCTGGACTAAGACCAAACACAGAAAATTTCAGGCTATGCAGTAATATGAAGGGGGGTGGGGGATTTGTAAGTGACAAGTGGGTTACATTGGAAGTTCCATCTTGGTTTCAACAATAGACTGGTATCTTGATACTCGCATTTAAGAAATGTGGATTTCCACATACTAACCATCTTTCATGAATTACTGCAGATCTGACAAATTTGAGTTATTGTGCTCCTCCTGGGAGATTTTTCAAGCCAATTGTAACAACAGATTATATGAAACAGCTGGTCAAACAGAATGAGGACCCAGTTCATTGGCATTTGATGAATTAATAAGAACAGGCACAATACAAATTTCAGCAATAGCTAGCAATTCTCCAGGAGAATAAGAACCAAAAAGAAAAGAGCAGGAATCAAATTGCAGCAGCTGTTTGGCCAACAGGTTGGGGGTAACTATTTCTTCATGGCTAAGGCTTGGAAAACTCTTTTAAGATTCCCTGGAAAAGATGCACTCCTTGCAACTTGTGCAGATGATAACAGAAGTACAGTGCTTAAATAAATTTCTGACTGTTCTTTTGAGGAAAAGCCAGTGAAAGAGGTTGCACATCAGACTTGTCTGCTAATGCAGGGACAGAGAACGGGCTTGGGTGTCTCATTGGGAATGAGCGGCTGTAGGGACAGCAATCCTTTTGCTGTTACCTTTATGGGTCTGGTGGCAAGAGGAGGGTTTTAAGAACCAAAGTATATGACTATCTGAAAAAATGAGGAGAGGTTTTTTACAACAGCTTTATCATGCCAGTGGTTTATGTAGCAGATCATACAGAAGTTCTGATGTAGGAGGATATCTTTATAGGGGACAACCTGAGGAACTGTATGAAGGTGAACCATCAGGAGCAGGAGCTGAAAAACCACCTGATGAAATGAATAATGAATTATCAGGACTAGCTGGCGTAGACCCTAGAGTACAAAGGGAAACCAAGGGGATACAGTTTAGCTGATGCTTACAATGTGCTCTCTGTCACATTATCTGTCATATCAGCCACCACACCTGGTGGAATAAAGAGCCACGATAACAGTGATTTCTGAAAAGCTTTTGATGAGGCCACTCAGCACAGGCTGTTAAATAAACAAATGAGTCATTGGACACAATGGAAAGAGGGAAAAATGGAGGCAGCTCATCAGTGTGATCCCTCTGGGATGTCAGCTGGGACCGGTGCTGCTCATCAGACTTAGCAGTGACCGCTAGTGAAATTCCACAGCCATTCCTAGACAAACAGTACAAAAATCATGCATGGCTTTACACAGTCTAAAGTGAGCTGCAAAGAGTTTCAGAAGGCACTGACAATACTGCATGACCAAGTGATAAAACTGCATACGAAGTGAAATATTCAGACGTGCAAGATAATACAGGGGGAAAAAACCACCCTAGCTATGAACAGAATGGGGATCTAACTGAGCTACTGCTATTCAGAAAATTGGTCTGGGAGTCACTGGCTAATTCCCTGAAAAGCCAGCTCCGTGTTCAGTGATGGTCAAAAAGAGAGAAAGACAGGTAGCAATGATTAGAAAGGCAATAAAACAAAAACCGAAATAGATTATGCGTCTGTTCAAATCCATTATGTGCAGTTCTGGTTACAACAGCTAGAAAAAGATAGAAGGGAGGGAAATAAAGCTGATGAGAAATATAGAATGGTTTCTGTAGGAGAAGAGACTAATAGATTGGAAAAGAGATGAATGGTAATGTAGGTCCATAAA